CCTTTTTTGGTCAAAATGGAGAAGGAAGGACAAGAGAAGAGTTGAGAGGAGAAAGAGGATGGAGGAGATGGCAGCAATCGCTGCACACATGGCTGCTTATTACTGAATAAATTATCGACATTTAAGGTGGAGCCTTTCTCGATGCGAAAGCAACTTTATCATCGGCCGCGCAAGGACCTCGCTGTTGGGATAATAAAGAATGTAAATACGCTATAAATTACGTTGTACGAGAGGCGAAACGCAAACACATCTCTTACACGCTGTACCCGAGACCAAATGATACAACAGCTTCAACAAAAATAACGTATACACCTTTTTTTTTGTTGTTGTACCTTGTCGGGCTGTTACAAAGCAGGAAGAGGATATTTTATTAACCGCTAAAAGGCTCCCTTTTTGTCGACTTCTCCCCCTGTTATTGCGGTGATTATTGTGTAAATCTGTGGAGATTGCGAGACTTACGACGTGCGGATTTTGCACCCCTGGACCGAAGAATCCTCCTCCAATCTACTCTGCTCTCTCTCTCTCGTATTTATACTTCGTTTTCATTTCTTTATGCTTGGATATTCATACCCTGGGGGCTCTCTCTCCGCACAATGCCGTGTTATTATCTCGTTCGCCAATAATTGCGGTCAGAGAGGTTTACATCTAAATTATATTTTCCATCTTGTTGCAGAGTTATAATACTCCGCTGCGCAATATTATGTATACATATTGGGTCTATATCAAAATCTCAACAACCGAAATACCGACAATCAAATTTCTGACATTTCCGACATCGACCGCGTTAATATCCCGACAACCATAATCCCGACAGTATCAAAATCCCGACACGATCAAAATCAAGAAAATTTCAGCAGTATTTGTATAATTTGGTTATATTCTAGAAAAAAATAATGAAATCTATATACATACATAAAGTATACTCAATGTTTTTCTTCACCATTAAATATCCACGCGTACAAATTTAATCACTGCCTTTATGTGCCTTTTGTGTCGGGATTTTAACACTGTCGGGTTTATGTGTGTCGAGATTTTCATTATCCGAATGTCGGGATTTCGGTTGTCGGTATTTTGATCCAAACTAATAATTATTGGGTCTATACTGAAGTCATCTCTTCACTATCTTCTTCTCTACGTTCAATTAAATTTACAAAGCGTTTCTTGTTTTCTCTCCTCAACTGTGCCTTTACTTGTATCCTATTTCGCAACAAGTACGGTTATTGAATATAACATTTTAATTGCACATTTTACGACGCCGAACGCGATTCATTAAATCCGACTCGGATTTCGCTTCAATTCATTTCCAATTGAAGCGATTCAATCGACGAACAACAACAAACAACTCTCATTCACTTTTTAATCTTTACTTCCATTTTTTTTCCCTTCTACACTTGTTTTGCATCACAACGCATAACAACTTATCAGCAAAATCTATATGTAAAACAATTAATTTGTTTCCTTATCAAACTCGTAAATTTATATTTAGATTTATTGATTTGAACTGAATTACTTTCCAGTTTATCAATTTATAATTGAAAACTCCTAAACACAATTTTTTATAAAAAAATTTCATTAATAATAAGTAACAGTTAATAAAAAACGTAAATTGCCTAAGCTTTGATACAACAATCGATTACCATTATGAAAATACTCAAGATTTTGTAGTTTTTATAAAATTTTAATTAAAAACTATGTAACAGTTTAGTAAAACCTAAATTGATTAAGTTTTGATATAACAATCGATTACTATTAAGTACTCAACAATTTATCGTTTTAATATAATTTTCATTAGAGAACGTTATGAAAATCTTAATTTTTCGTAGAACATTCGATTACCATTATGAAAATACCCATCATTTTGAAGAAATAATATTTTTGCACAATTTAATTGTTATTTTGTGTCTAAGATAATTATAAGCAATTATCTATAAGTCATTTAAGCAATTATAAACTAAATAATTATTTTGTTTATTAAGTTTTTTCTTCTGATTGAATTAAAATGTAATTACATTATAAAAAACTAGTGATAGTGAAACAATTATTTATATTTATTTATAGTATGAATAAATTTACTAAAATTATGATTATAATTAGAAATAAATAGAATTTTTCGAATCAATATGAATACATTTTTTTAATAATTGTATGTTGATTCTTAATTTAATAATTTAAATAATTAATTGTAAAATAATATTGAACTTAGATAAAATTAACATTGATTTAAATGTATAATGTAAGGAATTTAGTTAAATTAATAATTAGTATTATTGATTCAACTGATTTTTTAGTAAAAAGTTTCCACTTAAACTTAAAATATTCATAATAATTAAAGCCAGATTCATTAATGAAATAATCTGTTGTTAATTAGTTAATTGAAGGTTTTTTAAATATATAATGAATGCTCGTTATATTTAGGGGTTGGTATCGCTTGCGGAAATCAGTGGGTCTCGCGAGGGTTGACGTCGAGGGTTGAAAATAACGGGGTTCGATGAAAGAATGTCTGCAGCCTAGACGGTAACTGCGGGGGTTATTTCCCGTTGCGCAAAGTCCCAAAAACTAAATCAATTTACTCACTAATTAATTGTTACATAAAAAAAAACAACAAGTTTCCAACAAAAACAACCCAAATTTTGATTTATTTTTATTAATAGAATTTTTTTTAATTGTAAATTTTGTAGTTTTAATTGAAATTAGTTTAGGATTAAGAATTTGGAAAAATTGTCAATGTGGGACAAAAAAATGGATTTTTGGGACAAAATTTGAATAATCGAAAATTCAGTTGTTGCTTAACTTTCTGCAAATTGTGAATAATAAAAATAACGAAGGATAATTGTAAGTAAATTAAATTATTAAGAAAAGTCCTTCGACGGTTTTGGTATAATGTTATTCAGTGGCAGTTTATGGCCGGCGCACGCCTTGTAACGCCCCAGGATCTTAAAGGTCCCTACCTCCTCGTTTTTTTTTCACTTTTAATTTATGAAAATTTAGTATAATTTCCCCTCATACAATGTATGTGGTTGTGTGGCAACGTTTTTAAATATGGAAATTAACCGGAGGGTAAACCCGTCGCTAAGTTACGTTTTACATAAAACAAATTTTTGTTTTTATTATTGCAATTATTAAATAATTCAATGAATTCAGTATTATTGTAAAATTGATTAGTTTAAAATATTTTTTTTTAACAATTTTGATGAAAATGATTGTTTTACAAATCGTAATTAAATTAAAGTTTTTAACTAATAATGAAAATCATTCATTTTTACACATTTAATTAAAGCATTGAAAACATATACATTTTGTTGGAGCAAAATCTGCATTCTTCAATTAGAATTTTTGCAAAATGGAATTCTAGAGAAATATGTTTTGAATATCCAAATTTCATGCAATTAGTTTCGGGTTATAATTCAGGATCTTCATGCGCGTTACTTCAAGGATGATTTTTCTTTCAGTCAACAAAAAGGGTTGATTTTCCTTTCTGTATCCGTGAAATATAAGTATACGCAAATTTTATATAATTCCAAAAAAATAAAATAGAAAATTTGCAAAGTTTTTTATAATTAATTTTCGTTTAGTTTATTTTAATTCGTTAATTAAATTGTTTTTTTCAATCAAATATGAAATTTCAGTGTGTTTTTTTTAATTGGAATGATTGAAGAAAAGTGTAAATCATTAAAATAATTTCCTAATTTCCCACTTAGCTTAACATTTCCAGTTATACGTTTTTAATTATAGCTTCTTCTCTCCTACCGAAGACGACGACTCTAGTAAAGCGTCCATTTAGAATATAATGCGTTTCAAAGTTATTCCAGCTATTCCTTAATTTCTTAATTTCGGCATCTTATCGAAACGTTGCCGGAATAGTGGTTTCTTCGGTTCATCTTCCAACAGATTAAATTTAAATCAAAATGCACGTGATTTATGCGGGCTCGGATGTTGGATGGGAAAAGATTAGGAACCTAGGAATTTCGGTGTGCGTGCGCTTAACGGACACGGACACAGAAACAGACGCACGATTTATGGGCCTTAGTAGCAAGTTAACAAATTTAAATATTGTTCTGTCCGTTATCTAATTGTGTGGCGTTTGATGTTAGGGTTGATTTATCGTCGCAACAACATCCCTTTTTACACTAATAAACAGGTTACATGCACTTCTTAACCACTGTACATAATCATATATTGATGTAACTTTGTTAGGTCAATACAAAAAACTTTTAAGCGCATTAATTAGTACGCAAAATTATAATAAAGAAATTTGAAGCGTTATAAATAATTTATTTTACTTTTGATTTATAGTAAGAAATTTCTTATCACATAAATAGATTTTTTTAATTAATAAACATTTTGTCAAACTTTAATATTATTGTCATTATTTTGTTTGTTAATTATTACTATTTATTCTTACATAATTAAAATAGTAAATTTAAGTCTTGAATGTTTGCATTAAACTGATAATCACTAATTTTTTAACAAATAATTATTTTACATTCGAATACTTTTATAAGTAATTAAAGAATAATCAAATATTTCATTTGTCTTAACACAAAAACACTAATCTAAAGAATTTTATATTTCGCAATATATTTTTCAAAAATTTACATTGAAAATGTATCAATTTTTTGTAACATTTATAACTATCAAATTTTAAAAGCGTTTTTAGGAAAACGTTTAAAAATGTTCTCATTTTAATGTGTAATTATCACTTTAATAAGTAGTTTAAATAGTTATAAAAAATGAAACTTATAACTTAGTTTTTTTGTACGTAAAATTTTGTGAATGTTAATACTTTTGTATGTATGAAAATCAAAGAAATTTGTGATTGCTTATTAGAACGTTTCTAATGTTCTATGGGATTTTTATATATGTTTATAGCTGATTGAGACTTTATATTTTAATATCTCCTTGTATTTCATTGTTTTTGTATTTGATGTATGGTTTAGGAGAGAAACCCTATATCAAAAGTTAAACTATAAATTATAGGTAGTGAATAAATGTGGACTTACTTTGACCCAAATGAACTCGTTTCATCCATGGGTAGATCTGCGGCGGATTCTGCGAGCTTCCGCCTTTAGAGTTGTTATTGTTTCCAGACTTCTCGTTGCTGGAAGTCGAACTAGTGCTGGATGCCGGAGACGAGAGGTTCTGAGACGCGGTGGATGATGAAGCCTGTTTTCCTTGCGGGGAAGTACTGACAGATAGCGGAGAAGTGATACTCTTGGAGATGGAAACACTGGCGTTCGCCGAGGTCTGACTTCCTGCAAGCGGCGGCGTGCTGCGGGTCGGTGGGCCAGTAGTGCTAAGATCCTGAGGCGAAGCCACCCCCGTGGATGATGTAGAATCTGCGTATTTGCAGCTGGCAGCCGCGTTAAGCATGCCAGGACTCTGAGCACCGGGACTGGCGTGATGCAGGTGCGACGGATTCGTCGGGATCCTCTGCGGCTGCAGCTGGGTGTAATCACCCATCGTGGGTTGAAGCCCATGTCCGGTGGCCGGCGTGGCGTAAGGGTGCTGCGGGTACTGTGGACCGGGCACCTGGGGCGGCGAATAACATGCCGGAGGGTAGCTCGCTGCAGCAGCTCCATTGGGGTTGTAATAGTCTGCACCAGGGCTCGAGGCCTGCTCCGTCGCGGCGGGTCGCGCCTGCTGCCCGTAGCACTGGGCCAGAGAGTTTACGAACTGGTAGGAACTCATTATGTTGTTCAACATCAAAAACCAAAAAAAAACACACTTGTGAGAGAGGTACGGATCTCGAAGGGAAAGGTTTCAACAAGGGACCCAATTCAAACTAGTGTCATTTTGGGTGGTCACTGTTCTTGGGAGCTCGTAAATTTTCAAGTCCGGAAGTCCAACAGTCACTGTTGATGATGTATTATATAATAAATAAATACACTATCGGTTTTGTTGAGGGACGTTGCACGAATGTTACTCGGTGGTCCTTCGAAGGGTTTCCTTTACCGTAGTGGCACGTGGATACTACTGAGGATAGAGCGCGTTTACTACTAATATCTCAAGTGGATGGACGCTTCCGATCATCTGATGGATATCATCGCCGGAGGAGGAGGTATGACATCGCGACTTAAACGAGTTGCGACCACTGAGACACTGCCTTCGACTGGATCACGTGGAGGCTTTTATGATAGTGATAGACATCCGCGTCGGGACGATTGCGTAGCGGCGCCACGACTGCCCAATACCACGCGTTGATTGGGTTTAGCGTGCGAGGATGCGATTCAACTACTCCCGACTTCGGTGAGGAAGGACGGAACGTTCATCCTGTATAGGTGTTGAACGGAGATGGCCTCTGCTGGTGGGGACTACTCTGGAGTCGCGTGGTTTGCGAGCCGCCGCCCAAGGGGCGCACGCGCGAGGTGGAGCTTCGACAGAACGAGGCGGTCCCAGGACTCTCCAAATTGATAATTTGTTTGGGAATTGTTTAAGATTTGACGCTCAGCTGAGCGGACCCACCGGAAAAATTCCTGACACTTTTTCCATCCACCATCCACCAAACAGACCCACACACACACATCTATATATACATATATATACGGACTTGACCCAACAGCGATCTGGAGGAGTTCATTCCGGAGGTCGTAAATATCCTCAGTGGTATATTATTATGACAGAGTGAAGACTATTAGCCCCCTGAATGAAGTCTCAACAGTGGTTTCGTCTGATTTATTATCCGGATTCAGCCCTACATAAACACCTTGATAACGAGCCCACTTCCAATCCTTGTTTTCATTTCTGCTACATCTTAACATATCACTCTCAGAAATTAGTGTTGTTACAGCAAAACATCTTCCTCGTGAGTCCCTGTGCGTTCTGTGTCTGTTACTTTTTTTTTTCGTGCGTGTAAATCTCTATTATATACATAAAAACGAACAATATTTGCTCTCGTGTAAAAAGTTACTCACTCATCTAAGTAAAATAAATTCAAGGTATATACATAACAAAAATTAAAATTTATCTTAACTTAAGAAATTATTGCTTTGAATATAAAATTAAGTCATAAAAAATTGCTTTTCTTAAAAAGTTAGTAGTAGATTTAATTTTAAAAAATAAAAATATTTATCTAAGTAAATTCAATTATTATAGAAAATTACAAGTTATTTTCTAAGATTTGTAGAAATTTTTAACATAAACATAAATTCAAATACAATTTTTCTATGTCATTTCTAATATATTAAATTAAAACAAATTATTATAAAGTTTTCAACTAAATAATTCTATATATAGAAATTTTGTAGATTAAAGAAAATATTATTTTTCTACTGTAAGGATATTAATTTTTATTGCATTTTGTTAAAGTAGTAGATTGAAGTTTGAAAACTAGAAATTCAATTCTTATAGAATCTTACAAATCTTTTCTATTATATTTATAAACATATATCATAATTTCTTTAGAATTTTTTGCAATTATTGAACATTAAAAGATTAAGTTTAGCTTTTAGTATATGTTAGCTGCAAATTTAGTATAAAAAATGTACATTTAAATAATTTTATTAAAATTTGTATTAAAATTTATAAATTTATCCAGTAAATATTTAGAAATATAGAAATATGAAAAAAATATTGGATTTTTCATATGTAACAATTTAAAAAAAATATATTAGAAGACTTAGTGAGTTCAAGGATACTTTTACATTTTTGCTTATAGTTAAGGTTAGTAGTAAGTTTTATTTACAAATATAGAACATTGTATCACAATACATTTAATTCAAGATATACATAATACAAATAATTGCATTTATATTACAAATTAAGAAAATCGTTTAAAATATTTTAGATAATTGTTTTTTTAGTGTTAGCTTACTACTCAATTCAAAATACGAACAAATATGTTAGTTAATGTTAGTAGACATAATATGAGACTTTATTATATAATAAGTTTTTTATGTTTTATCTGGCAATAAGAAAGATTTAAATTATGTAAATAACTAAAAATGTTGAAGTAATTTATATGTTAGTAATAAATATAGTTTTTGCAGTGTATTAAACTAAATGATGAATAATAAATTTGTTAAGGTTAGAGCCTTTTTCTACTTGATTATTGTATAAAAAAATAAATATTTTGGTTTTGACCATTTATGTTTGCTCAATTAGGAATAAAAGAGATTACAAATATATACTAAAATTTTCTTATATAAAAAAAAACTTAGATACTTGGTAAGTTTAGTTCAGTTTTATTAAGAAAATTGCAAATTGATTTTTTTGTACTTTATTTTATTAATACTTACTTAAAAAATATGTTTCAATGTTTCGTTTTAAATATTAATTTTACTTAATCAATATTTATTGTATTTTACTTCTCATTATAGATTAATTTATTATATAATGTGTTTATTACATTTAAACGATGTAGATTCTATAACAAAATAAATGTCTTATTATAAATAAAACAAACTATTTATTTACTTGAAAACAAAACCTTCATAAAAAAAATCCACTTCCTATCCTTCTATTCTTAATTTTTATTTGTATTAAATTGTCAACAATATGCAATAAATAAAGAGAAAAGATTTTGTATCTATTGCCTCAATTGATTTATTAAAATAAAAATAGTAAATTCGAATAATTATATAATATTATTGCAAAGTATATTTTCTAAGTAATTTTGGTATTTTCCTTTAGAATTACATCAAAATACTGTCTTGATTCAATAATTTAATTCCATTCATTTCTCTAATAAAAAAGAATTGTATCTTTATAATTAATAATATTTACATTTATTATTTTAAAAAGAAATTAGTGCTGCAACGTGCAATTTCCTAGTAATTTTCTATACGTTTTTTCTGCGTGTCCGTTTTTTCCCTTCAGTGCGTGTCGTATCGTTTCTATTCCGTTCGGAATCGTTCATCATTCGCCCTCACCTCACGTACAGAATATTGACAAGGCGCACGGTATATTATTTATTTATCAGAGACGCATTTAGCTCTATGCATTATTAAATTTTTACTATTCGACCTTTGATTTACAGAAGGAACGCAAACATCTGACTCAAACCAGACTAATTTATTGATGCACCAAAAGAAAACAAGAAATACACACGAAAACATCACAATATTAAATTTATTGTCTCCATGAAAATACATAATTTATTATATTTATTAGTACTTAATCAAATTAATACAAGTATTTTAGAACAACAAAAGTCAACTAATTTTATGTATAAACATACGAATTTAATTTATCAACACTTACGTATTTATAAAATTAATCAAACAAGTAAATTATAAAATTACATAGCAAAAATTGAATAAAACGAATTGATTAAAACAAATGAAAACATCAGAATATAAAAGTTTTGTAAATGAAAGTTATACATTTTATAATAATTTTTTTGTAATTTATTTCCATTTTTTTCTTATACAAAAACAAGTATAATTTGAGAAATACCAAAAAATAAATAGAATTATGGATATATCTCTATATTATTCGAAGTTTTTTTTTATTTTGAAAAAATTAAGTTGTGAGGATTGAATTAACCTTATTAATCTAATGTGTTGGATAATATAAGAAAACGACTTAACTGTAATTTTTCTTTTAAATCTTGTCATCACAAAATAATTAAAGTAAAAAAATATAAACTAGAAAAGTGTAGCTAATATTCCTAATATGTTTATGTAAATAGAAGATGTAGATCAAAATTAAGTATAGATTAGATAGAATGTAATACGTTAACGATGGGGGGTATTATGGGATAGAATAATTTGCATACATTTTGGAATGCGCTGAAGAAATCGTGAACTGGAATTCAGTTCAAATACCAGCCTTCCATTCAAAACAGCTAATTAGGTGCGGCCCACCATTAGAGTCTACCTAGTCATTGTCGACTTAAACTTGCAAATTCTTAATCAGACATAAATTTATGTTAATTAATTTATCAATTTTCTTACCAGTAATCTAATTATAATAGTTGCTTACAATTATATAATTCAACAAATACAAAAATTGTTTTGACGGATTTATAAATATAAACCACTTACTTTGAACTTGAATACTAATTTATATTAAATAGTGTGATAAATTTTGTCGTTTTATGTCTAAAATGTGTAAAAAATACTATTAACAAACATATGGCGGATATATCCGCCTCGCCCTTTACACAGGATTCTTCGTTTCTGAAAATCTATACGCAAGGCTACTGTGGTGGGGTAGTCATCGGAGTTTAGTTTTAAGCGTGGCGGCACTAGTATTTTCCATTTTTTGGTACATTTATAAAAAAAATAAAAAAAAAACAGAAAATATGAACATATTTCAACAAAATTTTAAGTTATGAAAATAATAATGTATTTAGTACTTTCATAATTATATAATATATAAATATGAAAACAAATAAATGCATCGAAATTCTCAAGTCATTCATTTTTATTTATTATTTTTAATTCAAAGTTATTTATGCTTCATATAATAAATTGCGTTTAAGCGATTTTCGAAAGGTGTGAATGATTTAGAGTAGAAATTGATCATATATGTTATAAATTTCAAGTAATATTAAACACTAATAGTTTTTCAACGTGTTTAAAAATGTATGTAAGTAATGCACACTTCATCACTCAATCATTTGTATGGTCTCGCATAGATCAAACCGGTAATTGCGGATCGACGTTGATCAACGTTGAATTGATTTGCAAGCGCCGGACATTATTTTCGTTTGCTGATTCCAGTTTGTAATTGGGATTGATTGATTGGATTCGGTGTGTTCGGTATAAATACGTGGGCAATAAAACAACGTTTCCGTGTGAGATTATTTACACAGGCCATTACAGACTCTCGATTTCTCTCTCTTTCCTGCGCATCCTCTGTTTCCATCTCCGACTTTATCATACGTATAGACGGATCAGAGCCTTCTGGTCTTCAACAGCCTAATAAAAGGTATGGAATCGACGCGCACACCTACATATACGCTCCAGTCCAGACATACAACAACACACACATATGCAATGGCAAATATTTGCATTTCGGAGGGAAAACTTCGACCTGGTATAAATCAAAATATTTATGGATACGTGTAAATAGTCTTTCAACACTTCAGCTCTTGATTGTTTCTGATGAAGAAAACGAAAAAAGAGCACAAGATGAGAGATGGGACATGATAGAAAAAAATAAAGTAGGAGAGAGTAGATGACAGTGGCTGAGAGTAAAACGGAGTTGATGAGAGTGGATGAGAGTAGATGAGACAGTGGAAGA